TTCACGTGTGCAATATGTGGTGTAATGTGTTTTGGGCCATAAAATAATAACAGGATTGTACGGTTATGAATGCATTATAAGTTAGTTATGATGTAGTTAAAACAATATTGGATGTTAGTCATTATTTAAATAATAAAATAAATCATGGTTCAAAATATACCCGCGAACACCATGAACGGTAACAACTTTCAAACACAAACCAAGGGTTAAAATGTACTCTAAGGATATATTACTTTTTATGTGATAAGATCTTTAACAAGGGTTGACTTGATTTGATCCATGTTTGGTTTCTCTTTATCCCCAGGCTAGAAGAATCATTGGTGACTTTGGCATCCCCATCTCAATTTTAGTTTCAGTGCTGGTGGATTACTCCATTTCCGACACTTACACACAGGTAATTGTCCGAATTTGAATTGCATTTCAAACAAATCTGGGAAATTTGTTCTCAGTAGTTTATTATTCTTATTTTCCTCCTTGTAGAAACTCAATGTGCCGTCGGGCTTCTCCGTCACCTCCCCTGACAAGAGAGGCTGGCTCATCAGCCCCTTTGGTGACAAGCAGCCCTTTCCTGCCTGGATGATGGGAGCCTCTATTGTTCCTGCCATCCTTGTCTTCATCCTCATTTTCATGGAAACTCAGATCACATCGTACGTACAGTATACATTTTTATGGTTATGTTTTGTGTGCAGAATCTGTGTTTTAAAGAAAAGTTTACTGACTTGTCTAATGTTTCCTCCAATCCATCAGATTGATAGTCAGTAAGAAAGAGCGTCACCTGGTTAAAGGTTCTGGGTTCCACTTGGATCTCCTGCTCATCGTCACTCTGGGAGCCTTCTGTCCTCTCTTCGGCCTGCCGTGGCTCACCGCTGCCACCGTGCGCTCCGTCACTCACGTCAACGCCCTCACCGTCATGAGCAAAGCCACGGCGCCTGGCGAGAAGCCCATGATCCAGGAGGTGAAGGAACAGAGGCTGACCGGCCTCGCTGTGGCTGTGCTCGTTGGTAAGGGGAAAGAAAAAGTTGGGAACTGAGATTTTACAAATATAGCTTAGCAACTATAGGCACACAGGCATATTGAGCTTTAGATTTCTATGCTGAAAACTGATGTATGGGGCAGTAGTACTGTAGGGGTGGTACTTATCATCTCAAGAGCTTGAAGGGCTGGTATCTTTATTTAGCCTTTAAAGAACCAAAATCATAAGAATATATATCAAAGGAATGCATTAAATGTGTGTTTATCTTTAGCTGCAAATGCCTGGTCTACTAGCCTGCTAACTAGCGCTTAGCATTATTTCCAAAGCAAAGGCATTAGCAACTTTTATGTCATAATAATTCCTTTAAAATAAAGTACAAGTTGCCGATTCCATGGGAGAGCATTTAACCTGCAATGTTTCTGAATGTCAGCAGGGAGGGACTGCACCTCTTTAAAAAACAACTCAGATTGTAAAGAAGTCTATGAAAGAAATCCCCCGTATTCTGACATGATTTTAACCTCAGTAAAGATGCCCAAGATGCTAGTATATCAGAGAAAATTCAGCTTGAGACAGGAGTTTTCAACCGATGTATAGCGAAAGTGTTATTGTTAGCTTACAGGAGCTACAGTTGGAAAACTGCCAGCGACAGTTGGGATTTCAGCCAAAATCAACCAGAGTTGGGTAGGAACTAAAAGCCTTCTCTACAACAGTAGTAAACTGGAGACCCATTTCTTCTACAAAACAGAGAATTTAGCAGAGTAAATCTACCACCATTAGCTAGAACATAAAGCTTGACAGGCAAAGCAAAGCTAACCAAGGGTGATGAGGCCTAGCAAATGGGTTAGGGTTAGTGGTGGAATGCTCCTTTTGAGTGCAGTGTGAAAATTAGTTTGATTGTAAATGCAATTATAGACCTAAGAAATAATCAAGAAAAGCTTTTAATTCCACAAAATCTCATAAGAAGTCGCAATGAACACATCTTTTCAACACACAACAGTGCATCTGTAAGGAGCTGGAGGAGGCAAGGGATCTGAACTACTGAACACTTCCCGAGCAATTATTCTATTTTATTATCTGTCTGTTGGGGTTGTATTTTTCTTATTACAGTGCTGGACTTTCCAGGCAATTTGTCTTGAAAGAAAACATAAGCTCTAAAGGTACAGAGTGCCACTTCTGCAGCTCCTGCATGTCTAGACATTCTTGGAGTATTAATCAGCCGTAGCAAAAGCTATCAAGGATTTTACATTCTGTTTACGAATTGTCCTCAATATGAATCAAAAACGATTTTTGAAAAACTTAAAAAAGTAATATCCGACATGGCATCTCCGTGTTCATCCACAGAATAACCATTTTGCCAACAAAATATCTAAGTATTTGATCCTGTTTGGGTATACGACCACAATGAGTCATCATGATTGTTGAGCTTTTGTTTGATTGAAATGCTGTTGGGATGAGGAGAAAGATTTTAAGCATTAGCTCAAAGAGCATTTCAACCAAGGCAGACGAATAGTGAATATGGTTCAAATAAACGCTTTTGACTGTGTTTGTCATGAAGGATGTTTGCTTGTTCAATAAATAGTTCTCTCAACAGTTGCAAATTATTCTGATGTTTGCAGTTTATCCAAACCTAACCCTAACCCTAATTCCCCTTGAACCCCTGTCTACCCTTCAGGTTTGTCCATAGTGATGACTGACGTGCTGCGCCTCATCCCTCTGGCGGTGCTCTTTGGTATCTTCCTGTACATGGGGGTCACCTCTCTGACAGGCATCCAGTTGTACGAACGCATCACACTCATGGTCACGCCCGCCAAGCATCATCCCGATCACATCTATGTTACCAAGGTAAAACACGCAATATGAATGTTGACATGGCCAAGTATTTTATAGTTTGTGGTGAGAACGAGAAGACAAACACAGCTGAGTGGTTACTGCAGCAGAGACCTGGTTTTTTTTTTCTTGGGTTATAGCTTGATTTGACCAAGCGACCAGAGTATTTAGTCGTGCAGCCCTGACATATTGGTTAGGCTGTCCTGGAAGTTAGCATCCCTCGACAGAAAACAAGTGATTTGTCCATTGTCGAAAAATGCAGGGTATTCTCCACATATTAACACCACTTACCGGTATATGATGTTTGAAGCATACATGCAATCGGCTGAAGTGAAAAGCTAATGTCAGACTATAAATTAACTAAATCCAAGTCACTTGGCTGCCTGTCACCACCACTTAGCTAAAGGCGGCTAATATTGGCCGTATTTCAACCATCAAAATATGCTCAAGAAAACATTGTGTCTGAGACAGGGATTGAAATGTTAACTAATTCCCGGGTGGAGGACTCAGCAGTAAATTGATTTGATTTACTGCTGTGAAAGTTTTGGACTTCTCCATGACAAGCAAATCCGTGTTGAACTCTCTTTTGATAAAGAAATGACAGAGTAGGGATTTCACCTACTTCCAAGATGCATGGAGAAGGGAACGTTCTGCTCGAATTTAGACCCCAGAGTTATAAGGGGGGCCGTGAAAGTGAGGATGTACTTTTTGTGTTATTGACTTATGATGGATAAGGTGGGAAATGGGTTTTGAAATAATATTCTTTCTATGACCTGGAAACAACATGTAAGATGTGAACACAGGTTAAAAAATAAATTTCCCTCGCCAACATTTCACTTTTCTCCCCTTGTTTTCACATAAATAAATAAAAAGTCATTCAGATCCTTATCCTGCCAAAAAAACGTTTTATTTCACGTGGCAACATATTTTCCTACTTGTTTCACAGATGAAACCAAACAAAGTTATACACACAGGAGAGAAAACTATTTGGATCAGACTTAGGAAACGGATCACCTGAATATTTGTTTCTCACTTACATGTCAAGGCTTCTTTATTTACAAGCGAGATGGATTCTTCCAAGATGTATGTCGAAAGAAAAAAGTGATTAAAATGGTGACCCCAAATAGGAGAGATGTTTTACTGACTTACTTCTATGAAAGTCTCTCTCACAAATAAACAGATAATAACCAGCTTCATCATTGAGTATGTTCATATTCCCGCTAGTATTATGATTGGGATACTTACTCCGTGAGAAGCACATTAGAAAGGTATTTTTGAAAGGACGGTAACAACATGAGTACTGATCACAGCATGCAAAACCAGTTTCAGTGTTCATATATGAACCTGACCATTGTTTCAAGAAAGACGTGGAGCTAGGAGCTGTAAGCCTGAGCTGAACCTTCCTACCTTAAAGATATAGTCTGACATTTTGGGAAATACTTGGGCCTTCTTGCAAAGTGTTAGATGACAATATTGATTAACAAATAAGCATAACGACATGTAAGTACATGTCCTTATGCTTATTTGCTCATTTAGAACAAAGATAAGAAATAGTAAGACACATAATTGGCAAAAAAACATTATTTTACAATCAAATAAACAACATAAATGAAAATATGTTCATAAGTTAAATTATATAACTAACTAAAACAAGTTAACGCTGAACTGAACTCAACAAATAACATAGAATACAAAATGGAAGAGGACATAACATCGCAGCTTACAAGTCAGTATCCACAACTTACATATTGATCATGCTGCTATCCACAGCATGATCAACATGTTGCCATGGAATACATTGTAGTGGACAGTAAGGATTGTAGCACCCAATAATGTAAAAATATCTTGAAAATGTGAAATCATTTGTACATGATCTAAGATGTAATAAATATTAATAATAACTTGACCAAAAATGTCATAAGATGTTGTGACTGATAATGTAATAATATAGGTAATAAGAATAATCTTTCTTCATTTCAAGTTACATTTGAAACTCTTTTGGAAAATTCACAAGAACCAGCTTGGAGACCCATTCATTTGTATACAGACCACCTTATTGTTAAACCAAAATATTACTTTTTTAGAACGGACTTATCTGTTATCAATATAGTTGGCAGTTATTTTAAAGTTGACAATTTAATAAAGTTTGTTGCTTTACTAAATCAAATTTAGTTTTTGGGGTCAATGCTTGAAAATAAGTAGAATCCAAACCAAAGAAACATTACATTATATAGTTTTTGGTTTCAGTTTTGGTATGGAACTTGGCAATTCTGGTCCTGATATTACTTAGTATCAGATTTAAACTGGAAAAGTTTACAGAATAATTAAGTTTGTCTCATATTGATCACACATAATTCCACTAGATGGAGCCAGTTAGTGTTTAATGTATAACTGTGTGTGTCAGTACTGTGGTGCATGGCCTCCTGGTTTCCAACCCATTAACCGTCTCACGTGTCTTCAGGTGAAGACGTGGCGTATGAACATGTTCACCCTCATCCAGCTGGGGTGCATCGTGGCTCTGTGGGTAGTGAAGTCCACGGAGGCCTCGCTGGCGTTCCCCTTCGTCCTCATCATGACGGTGCCGCTGCGTCGCCTCATCCTCTCACGGATCTTTGAGGAACGAGAGCTCCAGGCGGTAAGTTTGGTAACTCTAGGAATGTTTGAACCTTTGCCACTATAATCTGATCCCACACCGCCTCAGGATGCTTATTTTCCAGCAGATTTATTTTGAGATGGATCTTGGCATGTATTCATATCTGTCTAACATCACTCCTACAGATGAACAACCAATGATTTTCTCCTCTGAGATCACGGACAGCTTTCTCCTCCAAATATTTTTAGATGATTATGCAAATATTTATTTTTGCCGTGTGTTCAGACCACAGAAAGACTCACAGTTCATCCTGAAACCTGGCTCCATGTTTTCTTGGTTAGATCCCCTAAACCCATGTCAACACTGTCAGATTAAAACCTTCCGTGTCCAAAATGTCCACTTTTTCAGGAGCTTGAATAAATAGCTTTGTTCTTAACTTGACTACCATCCTCGGTGTGTTCAGCCAAAGGTCTCACGAACCCGGGGCACTGTAGAATCACACTAGAGAAGGCCTTAAAATAAAGTTAAAACACGAAAACTACTAAAATTGGACTTCTATGATGTCAGATCTCTAAACTTTCCCCTATATAAACCAGAAAACTCTGTGTAGGTTATTTTGTTATCCTTTACTGTGTTCTTCTTGTCAAGGGGTGGGTGAGGGATGCAGAACCCAAACAAAGGACAAAAGACGGATGCAGGTATAAATCAGACGTAGCCAGAAAACAAGGAACTATGAAAGACCGATGCACACCGGGGAGACATTGATGACAAACCGACAGAGAACACTAGGGAAGACAGGGATACGACACAGCTGGAAAGCGTAGCCTAAAAAAAAGGTTGGGGGAAGATAATAACAAAAAAATAAGAAATCCCAAAGACAGGAACAACAAAAAGACAAGACACAAGGGGAATTTACATTTCAAAATAAAACACAAAACATTTCTCTATCAGACTAATCTAGGTACCAACTATTTCTTTATCTTTCACAATTTGTTTGAGGGGAGCAAAACATATATTGTTGACTTTTCATTATATGTTTAAACTTTTACATTTTTACAAATAGCTGTGTAGGCTAAATTAGCTAGCTGCTGGATGTAGCTTTAAACTTAAAGACTTCAACGTTTGAGAGAAGTATCAATCATTTCATCTAACCCTGTCTTTCAACATTAGCAGTTTAGCTGTTTATTTATGCTAAAGTCCACTCTCATGAAATCCACCTGGAAGTATGCCAAAACCCACCTTTCGTATGGTCTCAGTCCGATGGTTCAAACTGACAGCTCTCAAACCAGCCCAATGCGCATCTGAGTTCATTTAAACAGCACACACCAGGTTAGGTATGAAAGCATCTTAAGATGCATCATTTTGACCTTTGAGCATGTCTTGAATATAAATCACTGAAGAGAAATTGTCTTTTCACAGCTGGATTGCGACGAAGATTCTCCCAACTTTGACGAAGATGGACGAGATGAGTACGATGAGATCCACATGCTTGTGTAAATTTAAATTGGACCCAGCCAGTAGGAATTCCTCCGCCCTCAAGCTCCGGCCAATCGGAGCCTCTTCGGAAACCTCAGTGTCTCTGGGTAGCGGGGACAAAGAAGCTATGGATAATGACTTCTTCTTACCTTTGTTTATTCCAGTTTTGTAAAAGGACACACCTGATGTTAGATCTCTGTGGTGGGGGTGGTGTGTTAAACATCATGAGTTCAGAAAAAAACCCTACTTGAAGTGCAAATCTAGCAAAAAACTTAACGGAGATAAACATTTTATCCAACTTTTTATCCTATGGATCCCTTTATTTACCTTGGGCATAAGTGCAATGATGATGGTAACCTACTACATTATTTTGGTCCTGAAAACAAAAAAATAGAGTCGATCTGCTTTATTCAGCAAGCAGATTTTCATCGAAATTCATAATCGTTACGGTGAATATTATCTTTACGCTGAATCTCAAACCACTGCCTGTGTATTTTAGCTGCCTTTTTTTCCTTTCTACTACTGCCATTGCCTATAGGTTGCAATGATGTGCAAATAAGGAGTTAAGTAGTCCTTTTCCTTTCTGTACAGACTTTTAGTAATGAGCACTTTGACTGGGCAAAAGTTCACATTTGTCGCTGCCAACCGAACTCCCTGGCACAACGCCTCCTCTCTTAATGTAGTCTCCCCTCCAAGCCAAAATCTCTACGGAGACTGTGCAAGCCTCTTTAAGGGGTGTTACTGCACTTTGTTAGGTGTTTAATGCCCAAAATGCCAGTCCACTGACCCCATTATAGTGACCTTGGATGTATAAGTAAATAGCTAACCTTATTTTTCTACTGTGTTGTATCTATTTATTTATTCTACGACTTTTCAATTAATGCCATCCCAGGTTTTGAGTGAGGTTCTAACCTCCAAATAATTCAAACTGCTGTTAGAGTTAGTACAAAACAAAAAGAACATTGTGTAGGTTGACACATTCAGTCATTATCCATGCATTATTTCATCTTCTCTGCGATATTTCCACGCCGTGGTGCATTTTTCAGAGATGTCATGAATAAAATAAGAACCCACTTGACTGGAAAAGTATAAGAACTAAGCAAACATACAAGCACTGAGAACGCCGGGGAACAGTTGAGTCTTGGCAGGATTGTATGAATGATGCATTGTACAGTAAGACTGTGAGCTTGGAACTACAATGTACCATCTGTGTGCAGAGCTCTTTCGAAAATACCCAGAGATTTAGTTTTCACCTACTATATTGCAAGCCCACTGTAGATTTTTGAACAACCGTTCAGTCACGACACCTGTAATCAGAAACCTTCTTCTGCCACACAGAAACGCCATCTGTTAGACCTACTGTACATAGCAAATACACACATTTTCTTAAGATACATAACCTATTAGAAGCCATTTATGCCCAGACTTGTGATACTCTTAATCAAGAAAAATTCAAATAAATCCATGTGATTTAACTAAAAGGCCTGGCTGATGAGTGATACAAATACAATTGTACCATTAGTTCTCAATGAAATTGATACTGTTTGACTTTGTATTAGTTAGCCTACTACTAACAATACATTGAAGTACTTTTACTGTGTATTCTTTGAGAAATCCTCTGTCAAAGTCCCCTGCTGAGAACAAAATCAAGCCACTTCTGCTAAGTTTGATGAGGGAATTATTTTTTGTTGCCATTAGTTCTTCGTGAGATCGATCCTGTTGGACTCAGTACTAGTGAAACTACCCCCACAAGTACTATGAAGTACTTACTGTGTACTTTTCCAGTAATCCTCTGTCAATGTCCCCTCCTGAGAACAAGAATGCATGTTCTTCTTTTAATAAACATTAAAAAAGTATTTGTAAGAGGAAATGGTGGACATGATATCAGAAATACTTCCAGTCAGTACTCCAGCAGCAGCATTTTTACACCTTGGAAAGTCTTTAGAGTCTGGTCTGGATAGCTGGTCACAACTATCCTTCATCACAGTGACACACTCTGTCACTCTGGTTGGCCTCTTATGATGCTGCTGTCTTTTAATATATGATTATTTCTCAGCCACTAGTAATTACACAATCAATGGCCCAGAATTGTACGTTATAAACTATGAATCTTGGTGCTTGAAGAAATACACACTGGTTAAGCCGGCCAGGTTATATATATATATGCCTTTTTTGGAGCCCTTTTTTGCAATATTTATTCAAATGTCACTAGTTATTTAAACAAACCACTATCTGAGGATAATACAAGTCAACCATAAAACGCCCTTTATCTAGAGAGCCATTGAAGCCATGAAGAATTTATCCTTCCACAAATCTTTTCATCTGCTGTATTAATAAAGTTGCCACATGTTTTCAAATTCAAGTTAAGGCACTATATGTGCAGAACATTACAAATATTCTTCATTTGCAGTATTTTATTTTAACAGTGTTCAGAAAGACAGCATCAATGATATGCTGTATATCGATATAATATCAATATTGTTATTAACTTCAAACAAAGTCAATTTAAATAGCGGGCTAAAATTGGTTAATTGCCATGGATGTGGTGTTTGATATAATTTACGTTCAATTTCAACTATTTTAGTCAGAAAAA